GAGAAAGATTAAACTTCATGAGGACAACATTGCTGAACTTAAGAAGAAGTTAGAAGAGTTGGAGAAAGGAAGAGAGTTATAAAGTAATGAATTCACAAGGTTAGAAAACGTGTTAGAAAACGTGTTAGATCTAACATTCTAACATAAACATTATTTTTGTGCTATGTTTTCATACGTGTGCGGGTGGTGATATCATTTATTTTTAAGTTTATTTTTTATTTTATTTTTAAGTTTATTTTTATGTAAATGACAGAACAAAAGCAACTCATACAAATCAAAACATATAACAAACATACATTTAAACATTTATTCTTCCTTCCTGAGCATAACATGTTCTTTCAAATACATCCGAGACCAGTTGACTTTTCATTGACTGTTTATAAAGATAGAAATAGTTATATCATTAAACCATACGATGACGAAGGTAAGTTATGTAAATTGTACGTTAAGAAGTTAGAGAAAGTTTATGGCTTCAAGTATGACTACAATAGGGTTAACACTGATGATGAAGATATTGAGGAAAATTTATGAGAACATTAGTGAAGTCGTTAGTGAGAACGATAGTGAGAACGTTTATTTTTACATTAGTGAGTTCGTTAGTGAAGTGAAGTGGGTGGTGGTTTTGTAAATATTTAAGGTTAAGTTAGTGTTGTCGTTTGTGTTGTAAAATATACGTTAACGGTTTTGTAAAGTGTCAAATTCACAAGTATTGGGTAAAGTGGAACGCAGTGCCGCCGTACCCAAGACTTGTATACTAACTGAAGTTTTGACAAAACATTTACGATGAAGTTCGACAAAACATATACGATGAAGTCTTGACAAAACATTTACGAAGAAGTCATGACAAAACATTTACGTTTAGTTTCGATGAAGTCATAACAAAGCATATACGATGAAGTTCGATGAAGTCATGACAAAACATATACGTTTAAGTTCGATGAAGCATTTACGAAGAAATCATGACAAAACATTTACGATGAAGTTTTGACAAAGCATATACGATGAAATCATGACAAAACATTTACGATGAAGTTCGACAAAACATATACGATGAAGTCTTGACAAAACATTTACGAAGAAGTCTTGACAAAACATTTACGTTTAGTTTCGATGAAGTCATAACAAAGCATATACGATGAAGTTCGATGAAGTCATGACAAAACATATACGTTTAAGTTCGATGAAGCATTTACGAAGAAATCATGACAAAACATATATGTTTAAGTTCGATGAAGTCATAACAAAACGTATACGATGAAGTCATGACAAAGCATATACGAAGAAGTCATGACAAAACATATACGATGAAATCATGACAAAACATTTACGATGAAATCATGACAAAACATTTACGAAGAAATTATGACAAAACATTTACGATGAAATCATGACAAAACATTTACGTTTAAGTTCGACAAAGCATATACGAAGAAGTCATGACAAAACATTTACGATGAAGTTCGATGAAATCTTGACAAAACATATACGAAGAAGTCATGACAAAACATATACGATGAAATCATGACAAAACATATACGATGAAGTTTTGACAAAGCATATACGATGAAATCATGACAAAACATTTACGATGAAGTTCGACAAAACATATACGATGAAGTCATAACAAAACATTTACGATGAAGTCATAACAAAACATATACGTTTAGTTTCGATGAAGTCATGACAAAACATTTACGTTTAGTTTCGATGAAGTCATAACAAAGCATATACGATGAAGTTCGATGAAGTCATGACAAAACATATACGTTTAAGTTCGATGAAGCATTTACGAAGAAATCATGACAAAACATATACGTTTAGTTTCGATGAAGTCATAACAAAACATATACGATGAAGTCATGACAAAGCATATACGAAGAAGTCATGACAAAACATATACGAAGAAGTCATGACAAAACATATACGAAGAAGTCATGACAAAACATTTACGAAGAAATTATGACAAAACATTTACGATGAAATCATGACAAAACATTTACGAAGAAGTCATGACAAAACATTTACGTTTAAGTTCGACAAAGCATATACGATGAAATCATTACAAAACATTTACGATGAAGTTCGATGAAATCTTGACAAAACATTTACGATGAAATCATGACAAAATATATACGATGAAGTCTTGACAAAACATTTACGATGAAGTTTTGACAAAACATATACGATGAAGTTTTGACAAAACATTTACGATGAAGTTTGATGAAATCTTGACAAAACATTTACGATGAAATCATGACAAAACATATACGATGAAGTCTTGACAAAACATATACGATGAAATCATGACAAAACATTTACGAAGAAGTCATGACAAAACATATACGATGAAGTCTTGACAAAACATATACGATGAAGTCATGACAAAACATTTACGATGAAGTTTTGACAAAACATTTACGAAGAAGTCATGACAAAACATTTACGTTTAGTTTCGATGAAGTCTTGACAAAACATATACGATGAAGTCTTGACAAAACATATACGATGAAGTCTTGACAAAACATATACGATGAAGTCTTGACAAAACATTTACGAAGAAGTCATGACAAAACATTTACGATGAAGTCTTGACAAAACATTTACGTTTAGTTTCGATGAAGTCTTGACAAAACATATACGATGAAGTCTTGACAAAACATATACGATGAAGTCTTGACAAAACATTTACGAAGAAGTCTTGACAAAACATTTACGTTTAGTTTCGATGAAGTCATAACAAAGCATATACGATGAAGTTCGATGAAGTCATGACAAAACATATACGTTTAAGTTCGATGAAGCATTTACGAAGAAATCATGACAAAACATATACGTTTAGTTTCGATGAAGTCATAACAAAACATATACGATGAAGTCATGACAAAGCATATACGAAGAAGTCATGACAAAACATATACGAAGAAGTCATGACAAAACATTTACGAAGAAGTCATGACAAAACATTTACGATGAAATCATGACAAAACATTTACGAAGAAGTCATGACAAAACATTTACGTTTAAGTTCGACAAAGCATATACGAAGAAGTCATGACAAAACATTTACGATGAAGTTCGATGAAATCTTGACAAAACATATACGAAGAAGTCATGACAAAACATATACGATGAAGTTTTGACAAAACATTTACGATGAAGTTTGATGAAATCTTGACAAAACATTTACGATGAAATCATGACAAAACATATACGATGAAGTCTTGACAAAACATATACGATGAAGTCTTGACAAAACATATACGATGAAGTCATGACAAAACATTTACGATGAAGTTTTGACAAAACATTTACGAAGAAGTCATGACAAAACATTTACGTTTAGTTTCGATGAAATCTTGACAAAACATATACGATGAAGTCTTGACAAAACATATACGATGAAGTCTTGACAAAACATTTACGAAGAAGTCTTGACTAAACATTTACGAAGAAGTCTTGACGTTTGTCATTTGTGCTGAAGTTAGTACTTGAGTTAGTGTTGGAGTTTGTGTTTGTTGTTAGTGAGAGAATAAATTAAATCATGAACTTTGCCATGGTCTCTGTCCCTAGTAGTTTTCATTAAGTTCTGGAAATAATGAAAGTCATAAACTTTGCCATGGTCTCTGTCCCTAGTAGTTTTCATTATCTCACAGAGTTAATGAAAGTCATACTTTCTATCAGATGAAGCATGCAGATGAACATAACGAAAGTTAGTGAGTTTGCCACGAGTTATGAATAAAATATTGGCATATTAGATGAGATAGCTGATGAAACAGATGAAGATAAATTAAATCTTGGACTTTGCCACACTCTGTCCCTAGTTCCTCAAAATCCTTGACAACGTTGCTTAGAAATTTTGGTTCAAAACCTCATCTGATTTTAATCTGTTATGCTACCTGTTAAGTTTCGCGAGATTATAAATGTCATGGAGTTATATAAAAAGGAGGGACAGCTAGGGACACTGGAAGTACTTGTAAGGCTATCTGTTAAGATTGCATGAAATACTAAAAAGTCATGAAATCCATTATCGCTGTGCTAGCTTCACCTTAGAGTAAAATGACGACTAAAGTCACTGAAGCAATGAAACAAAAGTTTTTGGTAGAATACATTAAATCAGGAACTATTCCAGAAGGTTTTTACATTCATACTATGAAGGATGGTAGAGTTCAGTTTAGAAAGATAAAGCAACCATTAGATAAAGAAGGAATTTTGAGAAAGATTAAACTTCATGAGGACAACATTACTAAACTTAGGAAGAAGTTAGAAGAGTTGGAGAAAGGAAGAGAGTTATAAAGCAATAAATTCAACAGGGTGAAAAAACAGGTGAAAAAAGAGGTGAGATCTCACCACTTCACCTAAAATTATTTTTGTGCTATGTTTTCATACGTGTGAGGGTGGTGATATCATTAATTTTTATTGTATTTTTTAAGTTTATTTTTTATTTTATTTTTATATAAATGACGAAAACTATTGAGATAACAAACTACAACGGTCATGAGTTCAAGAATTTGTTCTTCGTTCCTCGTGAAAATACATTCTATCAGATACGAGGGAGAAAGGGTAAAGTTAGTTTGAGCGTTTATGACTACAAGCATAATGGAAAATTTATACAAGCATATGATACAAACGGTAAGCGTGTTTCATTAGCTTTGTCAAAACTTACAGGTATAAACTATGACAGTGATTTTGACCTATATGAAGAAGAAAGTGAGTCAGAAGATTATGAGCTGTTATATGAAGCACAGCAATGGGAGGAGTTGCAATACTTTTGTAAGTGAGAACGTTTATTTTTTTACATTAGTGAGGTGAAGTGGTTGGTGGCTTTGTAAATATTTAAGGTTAAGTTAGTGTTGTCGTTTGTGTTGTAAAATATACGTTAACGGTTTCGTAAAGTGTCAAATTCACATATCATGGGTAAGGAGGCGCGCAGTGCCGCCGTACCCTTGATATGTTTACTAACTAATGCAGCAAATTTGTCAGACACTCAAGTATCTCTCCTAATGAGCCTCATTGAAGACAGCTTGGATCCAGCTAACAAAGGTCTCATAGAAATTCTCGCCAAGAGTACAAACGTTTGTCCTGCCACCTTATATAATTACCGTAAAAAATACGAACTTGACCCAGAATTTAACCCAAAGACGGCTGCATCTTTGATCAATCGTGCTATCAGTGATCACGGTGAAGAATTGTTAGCCAATTACATCATCAAAGAATTCATCGAAAAAAAATTCTTCTTTAACACCCAAATGTGCAGAGTGCTTGTCAAGATGTTCATAAAGGCTTACCCTAACGAGATTCTCAGAAACGATTTTGTTGTTTCTGACCATTACCTTTCGAATTTCCGAGAGAGATGCGACCTGACCACTCGTGAAGCACATTGGCATCGTCGGCCAAAAGACATCGAAGAGATGAAGACTCGTATCGAAAGCTTTAAACAGACCAAAACTCAACTTATGGAACTCTTCAAGGATGAATTGTGGAGAATCTGCAACGCAAATGAATCCTTTTACGGATGTGGAATCGCTCATGGACTGACATATGCAATAAAAGGCTCGGAAGGTGTTGACGTCCACATGAATCATAACGAGAAGAAAGGAATCACTATTATTGCCACAATCCAGGCAGACGGCAGTAAACTTCCACTCACATTTGTCTGCAAGGGTCTCACAGATGCATGCCATAAGCAGATTTACGACAACAGAGTCTTTTCCAATGAGTTGATTTTGCATTCCGAAACAGGTTGGGCCACAAAGGAGGTATTTCAAGAATATCTCAGATGGCTTAGAAAGTATTACAACGATCGTTATCGCGAGAATCCAAGTTACATTCAAAATGATAGAATCTACTTGTTTCTTGATACATATTCTAGCCACAGAAATGCAGAAACAAAGAAGCTTGCTAAAGACTTGAACATCACACTCGTCTTCATTCCAGTTGGATGCACCGATCTGTGCCAACCTCTTGACATGCATGTCTTTGGCGCCTTAAAGAATATGGCAACGAGAACATGGTGGACTTACTATTCTATCGACACTTCCCTCGAGTGCACGCTGAAGTTGGCAGTGTATATTTTAATACGTTGCTGGAATGCGCTGACTCCTGAGCTCATTGAGACTGCATTCAGTATGCACATCAAAGATCTTGAAGAAAATGAAAGCATCCAACCACGTATCTCTGACGAAGAGGCCTCAGACTTCATTGAACGGATTGACGAAGTGAAGGCTCAATTCACAGTAGGCGAGCTTCTTGGCCAAAACGCAGAAGAGGAAGACGCCCCTGATTTTGACCTCCTTCAAGAGTTCAGTGAGATCAATGAACGACGCCATAGGAGACAGGAAAATACCCAGATTGAAGAAATAGTTTCAGATGATGAAGACTGGGATGGAAGTGATGATGAAGAAGATCTTGAAGGATTCACTCCAGAAGAAGAAAGAGAAATCCTTGAATATGATCTAGATCCATCAGAAATTGAAAGCGCAGTAGAACCTGAACCAAATTATAATCCTCCTTCTCCAGCTGAAGTGTTTTCGCCTCTTCCAATAGTTGATGTCCATTTTGAACCCACAGATCAATTGATACACTGCCTTGCATCAAGAAGCGGAGCATCTTTTATGGACTCTGTGGAATATGCTCCGCGATTTGATGTTTTGTTAACCAATCAGCTTCATTACTCAGAAATATTTAACGAGATCAGACGTCACAATCATTATGCCACAGAGAGGGTAAATTCACAAATCATCAGGCTCGATGATTCTCGAAGCGCCTTAAATGCCGCCATGCAATTGTTCTTGACTATCATTATCCTTGAAAATATTCGAATCGAAGAAGATAATGGTGCAAGAGCTTTAGAATTGTTTCAGGTTGGAGAAGAAGATTCCAAACAAGAAGATCTTCTCCATATCCTACAAATATTAGAACGTATGGGAAGATCTACTTCGATTTCACCAGGAAAAACATATAATATGCTTCATTTTGAACAACAAGGCGATCCACGACTCATTATTTCATCTTTTATGAACCCACATTTATGCGGGATTCAATTCATTGATGAGAATAATCAAGCTCAATGTGTTAACATGTTAAAACTTCCTGAAGATGGAAATTTCAAAGAATATTTCGAGAATAAGAAGATTACTCATGTGAATAGATACCTCTTCATTGCAAATGACCGCGAATCTCAAGAAGCTCAGCCAGACCAAATTGAACTGCTTCATGAACATTCACATATCATATTTATCAGATTTGCCATTGTTTCACTTACACTCGGAAGAGATGGTCATGCCTCTTTTAAATTTTATAAGAGACTTGATTTACAAGGCGAATATGTTGTGATCGATGAAAATTGGTGTTATGTGATCCCAAGAGGAGGAGCAATCGGATATCAATTTTTATCATTGTATGTCAGAGGTAAGGATGTTGAAATTGAAAATTAATTCATAATTTCTATTTATTTATATATTTTTTTTTATTTGTAAGCTGTAAATAATGATTTGTTATAAGAAGATGGTCTTTTTCACCAAGAAAAATTTTGTGTGTAAAAAATTTTTATCGTCTGACAAGTTTCTCTGTGAAATATGAAAATTTAATGTGTGATTACATTAGGAAAATATTTATAGAAATAAATATAAGAAATTAGAGAAAAAAATTTAAAAAGTAAAAAAATGAAGAAAATAACTGGAATACGAAGAATTTAGGGAGGATAGAGTGCATTATTGTTCTAAGCATGTCATTCCGGGAGATATTGCCTGTGCATGTCTCCCAGAATGGCATACTGTTCCGCATTCATAACTTGAATGCGGAACTTTGACCGACAAGAGTGCACAATGCACTCTTGTCGGTCAAAGTTTTGCAATCGTATTCTGATTGCAATAAATTGTTTCATTCTGGGAGACATGCACAGGCAATGTCTCCCGGAATGACACATGCAGACCAACAAGAGTGCACAATGCACTCTTGTCGGTCAAAGTTCCGCATTCAAGTTATGAATGCGGAACAGTATGCCATTCTGGGAGACATGCACAGGCAATGTCTCCCGGAATGACACATGCAGACCAACAAGAGTGCACAATGCACTCTTGTCGGTCAAAGTTCCGCATTCAAGTTATGAATGCGGAACAGTATGCCATTCTGGGAGACATGCACAGGCAATGTCTCCCGGAATGACACATGCAGACCAACAAGAGTGCACAATGCACTCTTGTCGGTCAAAGTTTTGCAATCGTATTCTGATTGCAATAAATTGTTTCATTCTGGGAGACATGCACAGGCAATGTCTCCCGGAATGACACATGCAGACCAACAAGAGTGCACAATGCACTCTTGTCGGTCAAAGTTTTGCAATCGTATTCTGATTGCAATAAATTGTTTCATTCTGGGAGACATGCACAGGCAATGTCTCCCGGAATGACACATGCAGACCAACAAGAGTGCACAATGCACTCTTGTCGGTCAAAGTTTTGCAATCGTATTCTGATTGCAATAAATTGTCTCGTTCTGGGAGACATGCACAGGCAATGTCTCCCGGAATGACACATGCAGACCAACAAGAGTGCACAATGCACTCTTGTCGGTCAAAGTTCCGCATTCAAGTTATGAATGCGGAACAGTATGCCATTCTGGGAGACATGCACAGGCAATGTCTCCCGGAATGACACATGCAGACCAACAAGAGTGAACAATCCGCTTTCTCCTTTGAAATCCAACATTCTAATCACATCTACATTAATAAATTGTTATAAAATACTAATCAAAGATCCAATACAATTCTACTATCTTATACACACATTACCAATGTTAACACCTCTTATAACTTAAATTATTTCATAAAATTTGTTTTTATATCTTATTATTTTCTCATAATGCTTCTAATACATCTCTAATTTCTTACATTCAAACACCAATATCGTCATACTATCATAAGCACTTAATTTTTTCAAATTTTTAGACTTAAATTTGAGCTACATTTTCATCATCATTTTTAGCCTTAAGCTTCTATAAGGTTATAATACATTATCGTAATATTCTAATATTTATGATTCTTACTACTCAATTCAATATAATCATATAAGTCACTCATAATCAGGAGCATAATTTAAAAATCTATAGCTCATATTTTGACAATTATATATATAGATGATGCATATTGCAATTCCGGTTTCAACACGATCAAATGTCAAACCATGATAAAATATATATCAATTTACAAAATATCGATTAACATTAGAATCCATATCTAATTCCATCAATGCACAAGTTGTAAATGCTTAATTCATCTTTGAGAAACGTGAATAGCACAATTTTATAAGATTATTTGTTGAATATTTAAAATATAAGCAGGATCCATAAGTATGTTCACATACTATATGGAAAGATAAGATCATAGTAAAATTGACTTTATATTTCATAATCAATACCCTACTTTCCCAACATTTAGAATAAGGTTATTGCCCTAAAATTCAGTTATAGACACTTAGGAGAGCATTTAAACCATGATATTTTGGCATATGATAGAGAAACATCTTATAAACATTTTCAGTATGTTTTCCTATAAAATAACGATCTCACATGAAATTACTAAAATATCAAATTTTGATTTTCACTTTAAAGTTGGGAGAATACTCTACAGTGACAGGGTATACAATTTTAACCTTTGTTTTGATTATAAATAAAGTATTGATAGAGATATGAGTTGTACAGAATTATACACGTGTGTTTAATCAAATGTAAGTTGTGCAACAATAATGATTAGCTAGATAGTATATTAAGGAACTGTGATTTATGATCTAATTCAATAAGATGTAAATGATATTCAAATATATTAAATAAATGCGAATGTTCAAGATGTGAAATCGGTTAGTTAATTGTTGTATATATATATTTTACTGTGATTAATGAATTTTTTAACAATTTAAAATTATCAAATTTCAAAATATGCGCAATGAGATAATTTGAGAGTATTTTGAGAACTGAAGACTTATGATTTAGTGTTTTTGAATAAGCACATCAATATAAAGATAGAAAATAAATTGAGATATAATTTTTTTGAAGGTATTATAAGGGTGGAGGTAGTAGGATAATTTTTAATGTTCTATACTTTCATGGCAAATAATTAAATAGAAGTAAAACTTTGTTTTAAGAATTGAAAATTTTAAATAAAAAAGGAATGTTAGTAATGCTAATTTATTTGATTCCGGGGGACACCCCGGTTATCAAATATATTTATTAGAACGGAAAATCTCTCACTTTTCGAAAAAATCGAAACTGCAAGGATCTCCGATTCTCGATATGATAATTTATTTGATTCCGGGGGACCCCCGGTTATCAAATATATTTATTAGAACGGAAAATCTCTCACTTTTCGAAAAAATCGAAACTGCAAGGATCTCCGATTCTCGATATGATAATTTATTTGATTCCGGGAGACACCCCGGTTATCAAATATATTTATTAGAACGGAAAATCTCTCACTTTTCGAAATTTTTTTTAACAAAAATATGGCATTCTTAAATTATAGTTACATGTTATTTCACAATCATTATCATTAAAAAATTCAATTATTCAAGTTGTTTTGTCCCGACGGTTTTTACGGTTATAAAAATGGTTGCGAACTCAATCCATCAGCAAAATGTCGGTTGGGGTGCCCTTCTTGGCCTCCTGAGTACTCACCAAGATACCCCAGCTCCCGCAAAACACCTCCCTTAGGTGAGCATTAACTGATGACATGAGTTAACAATTCTACAAAATCATCAAGCATGAAGGTTTATGATTTATAAATCAAAATCTCAGAAACTGCTTGACTTTGCAAGTTGCTGTCTTTACCGGTTACTCTGCTGCAATCTCTTTTCTGATTGCAGGCAGAGTTCTGCATCCTGAGGACTTGCCTTGCAGATATGCTTGTAATCACTACGTGAGCAACTTGGTGTTGCAAGTTGCTGTCTTTACCGGTTACTCTGCTGCAATCTCTTTTCTGATTGCAGGCAAAGTTCTGCATCCTGAGGACATTGCCTTGCAGATATGCTTGTAATCACTACGTGAGCAACTTGGTGTTGCAAGTTGCTGTCTTTACCGGTTAGCTTTTTTTGAAGTTTCTTCGCATCTTATATAAGCTCTAGATCAATATTTATCATCAGAATTTGCATCTCATAAAGCACGATATTAATCAAATAGGCAAATTTCATTCGGAGTCTCTCATTAAATGAGAAACTCCGAATGAGATTTGCTCTAAGGTAATGTACTTGTTATGCTTGGCCTAGAAGCAAGGAGGAAACATGTATATGGTTTGTTTATACTGAAGTTATCTGGAATTCTCTCAATTGAGGATTCAAATCCAGATAACAGCAGTATAAGTTAATATTGTTGTGCACCTCAGGTTGTTTATAGGCCCGAGAACGAGAAAAGAATTTATGGTGTGAATTGGCTCGATATATACCTACGCTCTGTAAAAAATACGTTATATTTTCTTTCATATGAGAAAAATGTTTTTCTTTTTTATAATACTATGTGCTTTGTTACTTCATAAATTGTCTATTTTTCTTATTAAAACCTATTTTTTCCGTGTGATTCGGAATCTACGCATTCAAAAAATGCGTTTTCCGCTCTCAGAACGCGAAAATATGAACTACATGACGAGATAAATCGATTTATTATGTTCCTAAATATTCTCATTTTTCAATCTTGCTCAATACTCAAAAATAAGCAGACTCTCAAATAGAGAACATAAAATAACTCATATTTATCATATTAAAATTTTGAAAAAGTCTCCCGAAAAAATCATATTTCGAAAATTTCGAAAAAAATAAGTACATTTTTCGCCAAAGAAAAAAGAAAAATGTTTTTTTTTTGAATTTTTGATGATAATATGCACTCCTGACGGTCGCAGTGTCTCATTCTGGGAGACATTGCCTGTGCATGTCTCCCAGAATGGCATACTGTTCCGCATTCATAACTTGAATGCGGAACTTTGACCGACAAGAGTGCATTGTGCACTCTTGTTGGTCTGCATGTGTCATTCCGGGAGACATTGCCTGTGCATGTCTCCCAGAATGGCATACTGTTCCGCATTCATAACTTGAATGCGGAACTTTGACCGACAAGAGTGCATTGTGCACTCTTGTTGGTCTGCATGTGTCATTCCGGGAGACATTGCCTGTGCATGTCTCCCAGAATGGCATACTGTTCCGCATTCATAACTTGAATGCGGAACTTTGACCGACAAGAGTGCATTGTGCACTCTTGTTGGTCTGCATGTGTCATTCCGGGAGACATTGCCTGTGCATGTCTCCCAGAACGAGACAATTTATTGCAATCAGAATACGATTGCAAAACTTTGACCGACAAGAGTGCATTGTGCACTCTTGTTTGTCATCCACTATGATACTTAGAGAAAATACTTTACTTACATTATTTAAAATATTAATTTCCCTATTTAATATTTATTTATTATTTTTTGTGCTTTATATTCCCTATGGCATGTACTGAACTATTTTATAGACTCTACCGAGCTATCTCCACATATAAACATTTGACAATAACACATATATACTCTCTTCATATTCTAGTCTCATGACATATTATTGCAAAAGCTATATTTATACAGCATACCTCATAAAGTCTCATTATATCCCTATCTAAGCGTTCAAAACCTATTTTCCCCACGTAATCTGATTCTTCAGGCTCCGCTGATTCGATTTCTGCTGTCAGATCGTGAAAATATGAATCACATAACAAGATAAACACAAATCCAAAATAATAATGTTTTCTTCAAATTGACTCTTCCACGATATTCATATATTTGTTATTAATTCCGTTTTCCCTTACAAATGTATTTAATTTTCTGAATAATACGTATTATAAAATGAATATCTCAAAAACTAAATTAAAAAATTAATACTGGGTAATAACTAGATATATTGTGACTTTTTGAATTCACACACTTTTGGAAAAAATTGAATTTTTCTAAAATGATGTTGTTTGAACATGAACTTAAAGAGTTTTTTTACGGAAAATATCAAGTTGGGTAACTTGTGTTTATCTTGTTATGTGATTCATATTTTCACGATCTGACAGCAGAAATCGAATCAGCGGAGCCTGAAGAATCAGATTACGTGGGGAAAATAGGTTTTGAACGCTTAGATAGGGATATAATGAGACTTTCTGAGGTATGCTGTATAAATATAGCTTTTGCAATAATATGTCATGAGACTAGAATATGAAGAGAGTATATATGTGTTATTGTCAAATGTTTATATGTGGAGATAGCTCGGTAGAGTCTATAAAATAGTTCAGTACATGCCATAGGGAATATAAAGCACAAAAAATAATAAATAAATATTAAATAGGGAAATTAATATTTTAAATAATGTAAGTAAAGTATTTTCTCTAAGTATCATAGTGGATGACAAACAAGAGTGCACAATGCACTCTTGTCGGTCAAAGTTTTGCAATCGTATTCTGATTGCAATAAATTGTCTCGTTCTGGGAGACATGCACAGGCAATGTCTCCCGGAATGACACATGCAGACCAACAAGAGTGCACAATGCACTCTTGTCGGTCAAAGTTCCGCATTCAAGTTATGAATGCGGAACAGTATGCCATTCTGGGAGACATGCACAGGCAATGTCTCCCGGAATGACACATGCAGACCAACAAGAGTGCACAATGCACTCTTGTCGGTCAAAGTTTTGCAATCGTATTCTGAATGCAATAAATTGCATTCTGGGAGACATGCACAGGCAATGTCTCCCGGAATGACACATGCAGACCAACAAGAGTGCACAATGCACTCTTGTCGGTCAAAGTTCCGCATTCAAGTTATGAATGCGGAACAGTATGCCATTCTGGGAGACATGCACAGGCAATGTCTCCCGGAATGACACATGCAGACCAACAAGAGTGAACAATCCGCTTTCTCCTTTGAAATCCAACATTCTAATCACATCTACATTAATAAATTGTTATAAAATACTAATCAAAGATCCAATACAATTCTACTATCTTATACACACATTACCAATGTTAACACCTCTTATAACTTAAATTATTTCATAAAATTTGTTTTTATATCTTATTATTTTCTCATAATGCTTCTAATACATCTCTAATTTCTTACATTCAAACACCAATATCGTCATACTATCATAAGCACTTAATTTTTTCAAATTTTTAGACTTAAATTTGAGCTACATTTTCATCATCATTTTTAGCCTTAAGCTTCTATAAGGTTATAATACATTATCGTAATATTCTAATATTTATGATTCTTACTACTCAATTCAATATAATCATATAAGTCACTCATAATCAGGAGCATAATTTAAAAATCTATAGCTCATATTTTGACAATTATATATATAGATGATGCATATTGCAATTCCGGTTTCAACACGATCAAATGTCAAACCATGATAAAATATATATCAATTTACAAAATATCGATTAACATTAGAATCCATATCTAATTCCATCAATGCACAAGTTGTAAATGCTTAATTCATCTTTGAGAAACGTGAATAGCACAATTTTATAAGATTATTTGTTGAATATTTAAAATATAAGCCAAATCGAATCTGCTGTATATTACTTTAGTTTATCATTGAATGTTAAATGTGCTCAGATAAATATTTGAGTCAGATATCGCATTTTCTAATTTCAAAATTTATCTCATGAAGTTAGAATTTATTTGATCATACAACATCATATTAGTCAAACTAGAGTTCAATCGCGATTCCAAAATGGAACAATTGCTTGTTTTATCAAAATGTTAAAATATTAATCTAAAAAACTTAATATCTAACCAAAACATTCTAGAAATATCAATATAGGTATATGCAATCTAAATGCACACGAAATACTGAAAATTAAAAAGAATATTTATGAGATTATTAAATCTTATGCATTTCAATGAAGAGTCGATAATTATCATCTATAGGTTATATATCAACATATGAGTTTTTGGATTGACCACTACTATACTAATGTGATCAAATTAATCTGATTTCTTGAATTTTCATTTGAAGCATTCGCAGTAGTAGGAGTACCTTCATATATTAACATATTAAAAAATTGCGCCCAGATTCGCAGTTTAATCATGATTTTAAGATTGCATTAGATTTCGAAATGCAGAAAAAAATCACTTTAGATTCCCTTCAAACTCTAAGCATAAGCATGTCTCTATATGAGGAAACTATTTGAGCTATTCATTTGGCGGCCCAAAAACTCATGTTGCCTGAGCGCAGAAAATACCAATTTTTGGACCCTGGGTAGGGGGTCATGCATGTTTTCTAAATGTTGGAAAAGTAGGGTATCTTTTATACAATTATTAAAAATTGGAAATATCTATTTGATGGAATATGATTTAAGGCTCAAAGGACATTCAAAGGTTAATGTCTTTCAAAAAAAGCATTGATTTTTGACTCTAAAAATTCGTTTTCATTTTTTTTATAAAACAATGGATCCTGAAAATGAGAGAATTGCTGAAGATTTAATTGCTTCAATGGATGTCTCTTCAATTAACCCAGATGATGCTCCTGATTTTATATCAATTTTATCTGTTAAAAAGCAAGAAGCATTGATTTTAAATGATTATGAAAGAGTCGAGCGCATTAAAAACCTTATTACAGCATTGAATTATATGGCTCCTATTATTTTACCTAAAAAAGCAGCTAAAACACCAGTAAAATCACCAGCAAGATCTCAAACACGTAGCAAATTATCGACAAGCTCAAAGATATCAATGAATTCATCGCAAAATTCAACATTAGATGAAGAAGGACACATGTCTTTTGTTTCAGAATTATCACAAAGTTCAATAATTTCACAAAGTCAAAATACTCCTTCAGAATCGATTGATCCTGAACAAATAGATAAGGACATACAAGAACTTATCAGAGGAAATGAGGTTACCCAAATTTCAGAGAACTATAGGCAGATATTAAATTCAAGAATAAGCGAACTCCGTCTTGATGCAATTGATCATGATAATTATGAGCAAGCCAAGAATTATGATAAAGCAACCGATACATTACGCAAGAGACAAAACCCTTCTGTTGAAAGACAAAAGAAGAGGTTAGATGAACTTTACAAGAAGCGAGAATTAGTGCAAAGAAAAGCTGCTGAAGAAGAGGAAAGATACAGATATGAATTGCAAACTTTAATTAATCAATACAATGAAGCTAAAGATAAATTAACAGAAGATACAGATATGAAGAAATATATTGCAGAAGAAGAATATGTAGAGCAGAAAGATATTAAACGGCATACTAATTTTGCAGAAGTTGAAAGTATGAAGAAAGAAAATCAGAAATTGATCGCTGCAAGAAACTATTCCAATGTAAAAGTGATGAAAAAGAGGATCGCCAAGGCCCAAGAGCAAGCTGAAAATAAAGAAACAGAGAGAATGCAAAAAGCGGCAGATGCGAAATACGAAAAAAAGAATGCAGAGATAGATAACCAAATAGCATGCTTTAATAAGAAATGGGATTTGAAGATAGATGATTTTAAGTCTAAGATGGAAGTATCCATGAGTAAATTTGTCAAAATGATTGAATCTCTTGATAAACAGATTCATTTCTATCAGAAGAAATTGCATGAGGGATCTCGCAATTCTGATGTTTAATCGTTGTTAATTAAAATTATATTCTTAGTATTAATTTTATATTTCAGAATTTTTATCATGCTTAAATAGACAAAAACATGAACTTTGATTACATATTATTTGGGTATCATATAATGTGATAAATGCAGCTGCAACCTACAAAATTGTGACTTCAAATTTTTTTTTCTACCCTTGATAGATAAATATATTATAAGCAATCTGACTTTCTTCAAAGTTCTAAGTTATACCTGTTGCAACTCGATTGAAAAATAATGAAAAATAAAGTGAAAGAATAGTCTCTACTTTATTCTCTATAATAAAGCTCTATACTAATAATGGACTTGATCCATTATAAAAGAAGTTGTCCCTAAACGATCCAACAAATGGGGTCGTATTGGCGGAAAACATCAATTCGAAATCTGCATCTTCAAATTGATCTAATAAAGAATTAGAATCGTCGCTATTAGCTTCATCTGTAAGGTCAATTATTCCACCCTCATCATACCCAGTGACAGTAAAGAACCTTGAAAATTTTGAGCTGTCGATGACTTGAAATGGCGAGCCACCAGCAGGAGATGATATTCTTCTGTTATTTGGTATTCCGTTTGTGCTTAAAATTGCGACAAAATATTTATGAACGTGCTTAATCGAGAGGACTTGCTTACAATCTCTGCATAATATATCCATGCAATCACTTTGATCTTTAACTACTTGAATGCTTAACTGGTTTTTAATGGAGATTGAGCCATCATGGATCATTAAAAAATTGCAACATTTAGATCCATGGATTTTTTGGAAGTCATCCACAATATTTGCTAACTCAACGCTTCTAAGGACCCGGCCGCAGCAGGAGATATTCCCACACATGCACTTGCATGTGTGATTCATACTTTTATTTAATAAAATTATGATGCAGAAAATAATAAAATCAATCCTATGAAATTATGAATTTCATTCAATTTTGAGCATTTGATTTTTAAATTGAACGGGACGGTCTGACCAAAATATTGAAAAATAACTATAGTATCTATTGTATAATCAAAATGAATAGCAATCGTATCAAGTTGATTTTGATTTTTACGTCGTTCTCAAAAATCTAATGGGCCATAACTGATAAAAAGGAATGTACATCTAATGGAGAATAATTATTCATTTTACCTCAGAACTGTCACCATTTCTTTTTGTCCGAATAATTTTCTTATATTTTTAATATGCATACGTATCAAAATCGATGACCTAATAAATAATTTTTTTGAATTGAATTAATGTATAATTTTTACGAGTGGATGTTAACTTGTTTTAAAACGCTTTTACATTAGTATTTCAGAACTTCTTTCAAAATGTAACATGTTAATTCAAAATCGTTGTTATTTTTTGTGGGGCGCACGTTTATTAAAAAAATTAATTCTCGGCATTTATTTATCTTCATTTTAGACTCATTTTAAAAGAAAATTACTTGAGAAATGTTCTGACATTTTATATTACCTTTTCAATAAACGTCATGACTGAGAAGAAATTAAATCTTATATTATAAAATGGCTTACTTAAATCCATTGGGAGCTTCCTCCAGAAAAACTTGCGATTATTTTGTGATTTTTAGATTCAAAATCGAAATCGAAATAATCTATTGAGATTTTGATATAAATAGCACTAACCCAATAACTATGATTAATAAATATAGACAAAACTGTTTAAAAATAAAATGAATTGTAAAATTTTTCGAAATCTATACATTGATTATCATTATTTATTATTAAATGGGATATATTGAACAAGATAGATAATTATATACAGGATCTGCAATTTTTAGCTCTTAGTGCCCTCTGTGCATCAGCTTTTCCTTCTATTAATGCTAGACCAAGTGGTGTTAGGTTTTCAGAATCTTTTTCGTCCTTTTTAATACCCTTTTGATTACAAAGGAAAGTGCAAAGCTGGTCGTAATTTCCATGGGCGGCAATATGGAGAGGAGTTCTTTTTGTTGTTTTAGTGATAGCATTTACGTTGATAAATCTAAGTGCAAATTCAACTCCTTCTATAGAGCCATTGTGACAGAAATAATGAAGAATTGTAACATCTTCATCATTCTTAGAGCATGGATCTGCCCCATTTTCTTGTAGCAATCTAACAAGCTTAAGGTTTCCTTTATATGCAGCATAAAGAATGCAATTTGTTCCATTTTTTTGAGTAATTTGCCAGCCATTGTTTTTTACATATTCTATGATAGTTTTTGTATCATTTTCCTCTGCTGCATTTTCCAAAATCCTATATACTTTAGTAAACAATTTTGACGAATTGAAATCCTGATGTTGAATTGAATGATTTTTTGGGGATTCGTGTGATATATCATCATATTGTAAATTACCTGTGAGTCTTGATAGTATTTCTTTTAATAGATTCATATCAAAAATTTCTGCAATAAATTTAATGACTTCGTAGTTATCTTTTTCTTGTTTAAAACTTACATGTGTATATTTCAGCATTGAGATGATGTCCCCTGGATCAAAGTTTTTTTTTACAATTTTGAAAATTGTTTGAAATTGACCTACAGAAAGGCGCGCCCTTTCTAAAATTTCGCACATTTGGGGCGTGTTTCTAAGCTTAATAAAGTTTTCATTGATAATTTCTTTTATATTGCGCGCATAATAATCATAATCGATCTGCATTAATTTTACGACTCAATTAAAAAATTTTAACATCAATGGAAATTAATTAGTAGAAAGTAATTAGATATTTATAATTTTTAAAATATAGGGTGTCCAAAGGTGCGTTTAGCACAGCGCTCTATATCAGACTATTAAAGGAGATATATGCTGATTATAAATATATAATAAAAAATATGAATATATGTATATGATGAGTATGTTGTATTTTGGCGCCATGCCGGGATATAAAATGAATTTTGAGACAAGAGGCGGTTTCGCGGGAAATTTTGGCGGGATTTTTTTCATTTTTTTAATGAATCATAAAGAAAACATCCTCGCTCTTGCAAAAAAATGCAAAGACTGTAAAAAAATCTACGAGACATTGGTAAAATGTTTCGGTATGGATGCTCCTAGCTATTCCACTGTAACGTATCATGTTAGGATGTATCACTTCATGAACAAAAAGGCGCCCATCATAAAAATTGACAAAAAATTGCCGGATCAAAGAAAAATCAAAGCAATTCTTCAAGTGCTAGATGAAGACCCAAGAGCATCACTCAGAAGGATAGAGGAGATGACAAAGATACCACGTACAACAGTCAGTTATTATCTGCACAATTATTTGAACTACAAACTAGCGTATACACGTTGGGTTCCGCACAACCTTAATTCAGTTCAAAAAAAATCTAGAGTCCAATCTTCGAAAGAGCTCCTCTCTATATTGGGTGCGTATCAATCCAAGAAGTTTCGCTTTTTAGTAACAGGGGACGAGTCTTGGTTTCAATATGCAACAGAAGCCAAAATCATGTGGATCCCGAAGGATGAAAATCCGCAAACATTCCCGAAGAAAAAAATTGACACACCAATGATGATGTTGTCGGTTTTTTGGGGCGTGAATGGCATCATCGCAATTGATATTCTTCAAAAACCTAATACGATGAATGCTCAGTATCTAATTGACAATGTTCTTACTCAAATTATCAATTCTGATGAGTTTGAGAAATCCAAACAACAAAAACAAAAGTTTGCAATTCATTTTGATAATTCAAGAGTTCACAAAAGTCATAAGGTAATGAATTACTTGGTGGAAAACAATGTCAAAGTTGTTCCAAACCCAATTTATTCACCTGATATTGCACCCTCTGACTTTTATTTATTCGGCACGCTAAAAAAGAGAGCTGAAGGACGCGAATTCGCGAGTCCAGATGATCTTGAAAATTTTGTAAGAGAGCAATTTGAGCAATTTTCTCATGATGATTTAAAGCGTGTCTTTGAAGCCTGGATCGATCGCTGCGAACGCGTGATTGAATCCATGGTGATTATATTTAAATAAACTTTATATATATGTAACTTGTTTATTTCTATTCGCAGTATTCAGGTTTGTGCTAAACACACCTTTGGACACCCTATAATTTGAATAGAGGTGTAAAAAATCAAGAACGAAGTAGTATATGCGGACGGGTTTAGTGACTTTTTTTGTTACATCTATATATAGACGATGCATTAAAATATATTTATTTATAAATTATTAAAAAATTAACATTAATTTTAAAATAATTTATTTTTTATCTTTTATAAAAGAAGCTATATATAGATGATGGCAGATATTCCGCGATTAATTAAACATTGTTTAAATCCTGAATGGATTAAACTTTAATTTAAAAATGAAGATTGTGAATTATTAAATGAATATGAAAGCCAAAATAAGCTAATGAGGTATAAATATAATGATAAAGAATATTTAATTTCATGGAATCAATGGAGTCATAATCAAAGACCTCATAAACGAGAAGAAGAAATTGAAAATAATGAAATGGAAATCATTGATGACATTAAAGAGGATGGAATTCATATAAAAATAAGAAGTCTGTTTGACCTTAAGAATGATTTATATATAAAAATAAAATAAACTTCTTACGAAAAATTAAAACTTAGTTATGTTTATTATTTTATTTTTTATTTTGTATGAAATGAGCGTCAAAACTAACAACGTTAAAAAATTAGGATTCACAAACGAGGAAATAAAGGATATATTAGAGGAGGTAGGTTATGAGGTTAATAAATATTATTTAAGAAATTGTCAAAATTTTGCCGAGTTATTAAATGATTTAGATTATGATGGAAAAATGAATAAAGATGATGTTATAAATTTCTTATATCCACATCTGAAGAAGAAAAACCTAAAGAACCTGATGTTTTCCCTGAATATTATGAAGAACGGATTAAAGATGATGAATACATGAAATGAAATTGAAAGACTGAAAAAAATAAGAGATGAAATAGATGAAAAAATTAAGGAATTAAGAGAAGTTGAAAAATATAATGAAAATGAAGTAGAGGGTTTAATGAATATCCCAGCTTCAGAATCAGAAGTACAGAAATCTCATGAAGAAAGATATAAAAATTATGTCTCAGAATCAACACAAAATTTATTAGATGGTGAAATAGACGAAACACTTTCAGAAGAAGGTACTAAATTTATTCGTAAACATAAGTTCCAATTTATTGATAATGAAGAATACCCTGTATCCTACTTTCACCACCTTTAGATTCCGAAAAATTCAAAAAAGCTCTTAAAAACGTGACATATGCAACTAATACGATTAAGAAAGAAGATCATGATATTTACACAAATTATTATTTAAATAAATGCACAGGTGTTGATAAAGTTTTTGATTTATTAGATAAAATATCAAAAGAAACCATTGGAACATATAAATTTTTGTGTGATTGTGGTTTCATTGTTGAAGATACCAATAATGTTTCATATGAAAGAACAGCACCGAAGGAAGATGAAGTGAAAGGTCTATACCATTCGTTATTAAGAATATAAAAGATATGAAAACGTATAAACATTATATTTATTCATTTATTTCAGAAAAAATGGAAGCAACCCATAAAACATCTTCTCATCATTTTATAGCTATTCATACATTCCTTTTCAAAGTTGTGAAATTAAATAAGACAGGAATTAGATTTAATGTATCAGGGTACGCATTCTTGAGTAAATTAAAATGTATTCGTCACGTCGCAGATGATAAAAATTTATGTGTTCTTAATTCATTTTATGGGCTTTAAAAAATAAACTTTATTTTTATTTATTTTTTAATTTTTTATTCTTACATAAATGAACAAAAACGGAACCGCTAAAATGAATGATAATCAAATTAGAGCAGAAGGTAGAAGGTTATTTAAACGCTTCTATAACATTCCTGATGGTGTTAATCCTAAAACTCGTAGAAGCTATTTAAATGAAGCAATAGATGCATATGAAGGGTTTGACATTTCATCAGAAAGTGAGAGATTAGCGAGAATGTTAAATGTTAATATTGATTTCTATTATTGTGATCCTCAACCAGAAGACGTGGACATAAATAAGGTAGACTTTCCATTAGTGGAATCAATAATGATAGATCCAGAATTTGAAACAGTAAATATTTTATTAACACAGAGTCCATGTGGAAAACTTCACGCTGACAGAATAACAGACGTTGAAGCACTCACCGGCTATAAAGTTTGTCCATATTGTAAAGAAGAAGTTTATTCTATCCGTGATGATCCAGAAAGGAAAAACCAAAGAAGATTTTTAAAGCATTGTGAGAAATGTAAAGAAAATAATGGAAGATTAATTCAAGACGTTCAATTGCAAAAGACACAGCAACCATATGCACCACATATTACGAAACAGAAGATATATCAGTGGTTATTAGCTCACAATTTGCAGAATATTATAAACCGACAAGATATTATATTACTTTTGACTTCGAAACATTAGAGACTAAAGAAGAATTACAACTTTCTGAGTGTGCAACTTTGAACGCTTACTTAAAACCATTCATGGTATCATCAACGGTTAAATTAAATGATAAAACATATACGAGGAATTTTTGCTTAACTTCGAGTGATTCTTTTATTTCTGATTGGATTGAGTTTTTATTTTCAACCTGTTCATTAGTTGCTAAATCAAATATGAGTCAATACAATGAATTAATGAAGCCGCAAACGGCGGGGACTTTGTCCCATACATTAAATGAAAAACAGAAGGAAGCATTTAAAGAACTTCTAGATGAGGAATTCAATAAAGTGAATATCATAGGTTTTAATTCGGGAAAGTTTGATTTAAATTTAATTCTTCGTGATTTAAACACTGCAAAATGGAAAATAAAATCAATGCTGGGTTCATCTTCACAATTTAAGCAAATCATTGTAAAGAAAACAAACGTTCCATATGAATTGAGATTTATTGACATCAGAAATTATATAGCGGGTGGGACATTAGACCAATTCACTCAAGATTTCGGAAACAATAAATCACGTGTTAAATCCTTTTTCCCTTATCAATTCATCACATGGGAGAATTACGAAGAAGAATTATATAAAGAGGAACCATTCACGAAAGATTCATTTTATTCAGCATTAACTCAAGAAACTATATCAGATAGTGATTATCAAATATATCTCAATGATGCTAAAAATTTTAAGAATAGATTAGAATATTTTATTCATTATTGCAATAAAGATGTTGAAATTATGATTGACCCAATCGATAAAATTATTGAAGAAACATTTGTTTATAAAATTGATATGCTTCATAATCTTTCTTTATCATCGAATGCTTCAATGATTCGTTACGCTTTAGCATATAAAGACTTTAATCCTAATGAAAAATATCCTGAGGAAGAGATAGAATCAAGTTTTGAATTAACGAAAAAGTATTGGAAATATAAAATTGAATCATATAAGAAACAAGATGAAAAAGCAGAAAGAGATACTAAAAATAATGTTTCAATGGATGATTTTCAATACTATCACGATTTAATCCTTTCATCTAAATGCAAAATGTGTGGTAAAGCGTTTACATATGCAAATAAAACATTGGATAGAATCGATAATGAAAAACCACATACCAAAGAAAATTGTCAGTTAATGTGTTGTTATTGCAATGTCGTAAAATCAAATAAAGATGAAGATGTTCAACGTTTAAGAATCAATTTAAGAAATTATGCATTAAAAAATAATTTACCAATGACTTTAGATTCAGTTGAAGCTTATCACATTCTCCGTAATGGAATTACTGGTGGTCTATCAAATGTTCAACATCGTGTTAATCTTAAAGGAATCACGCACATTAATAAACTTTCATATAGTCCAGAAACTAAAACTGTATCAAATGAGGACACCAACATCATGACTCATTTCGTTGGTGTTGATTTAATTCATTATATCCTTCATCATTTTCATCTAATCCTCATGATTTCATTCAATATACTGACCATAAAATGTATATGCCGGGAAGATTGAATGGTGTTATCATTTGTGATACAGCAACAAAGAAAGCAAAAGCACTGGGAATATTAAGAAGAAAAATACTTTATTCGTGGCTGAAGTAAAGGGTCACATTGATGAAAAATACATTAATGATTACATAAACTTTTTACCGATAATAAGAAACTTAGATATTATCACAGATGAAAAAACAATTGGCAGTTTTATGTATAATTACATGAAATCAAACAATCTACCAGTTGACCAGAAACAGAGGAAATTAACTCAGTTAGCATCAACACACAACCAATATCAACCATTTTCTTCTTATTATCTTTGGTATCTAATAGACAGATTTCATTTTATCATCGATGATATTCAATCAATTTTAACATTTACGAAAAACACTTGTTTTAATGAATTTGCGAACGAATTTATGAACGAAAGACAAAAGGCTGAATTAGAAGGAAATAAAGGAAAAAGTTTATTTTGCAAGATTTCACTTAATGGATCATATGGTTACGATGCAATGAATACACAAAATTACGCAAAGACTAAAATAATGAATGCACAGAAGGCACGCGTTGCATGTATGTCAAATAAGTTTAAAAACATAAGAGAAATAGGTGAAGATACATATCAAGTGATGCTTAAAGATAGATTTTATAGATGTGATACATGTTTACAAGAGGCATTCTTCACTTTAGATAATGCTAAATACTGGTATTTGGTTTTCATTTATGATTTTATGTATAAATGCATGAATGTTAATCGTTTTCATTTCATTGAAGGTGATACTGATTCATCTTATTGGGCAATCGCTGGCGACCCAAATCTTCCTAACACTCAAGCATTTCAAGCAATTGTTACCGATAAACAATTTTATGATAAAAACATTTTCAAATTCGCACCATTTGATTTCTTCTGTTTTGATGAGAAATTTAAACCTAAATTAAAGAATAAAGCTGAAGAAAAAGCACATGAGAAGAAGTTATTGGGTTTAGCAATTGAGAAACAAGGTGATAACATGGTTGCTTTATGCCCTAAGTGTTATACATCATTCAACGGTTCAATTGATGGAAGTGATTTTAAAAAGATTGCACAAAAAATGAAAGGTGTTAGTTTACGACAAAATAAACAATTAACACCTAAAAATTATTTGGATATAATAAATGATAAAGTGATATTTGATGGTCAGAATATTAATTTACAACTTAAAAACGGGTCAATGACTCGCTTAACAATCGGTAAGACTGCATTAACAGGAGCACACACTAAGGCTGTATGTTGTGAAAATGGATGTTGTATGCCATTTATTTAATACAATTTAAAAACGTAGGGGTTGAGTCATGAATTTAAAATTTTATTTTTAATAAAATGCCACAGAAGAGACAAAAGGAACCGAATAGATTTATACCAAATGGTTTTAACTTTCAGATTCCAAATAATCAACCGCAACGAATTTTTCAAATCCCACCACAGCATCAACAGCAGCAACAACGACCACCACCACCACCACCACAACGTCAACGGAGAAGAACATTCACCCCTGAAGAAAGAAATTTCAATAATTTGATGCGTCAACAAAATCAAGGTTTGAGATTTTATCCGGGCAGTAATGGTATACATATAAGGCATCCAAATTTAGATAGAAGATATACCGCTGAGATTCATATTTTACCTAATAATACGATTAATTTTGCTGGATTTTATGATCATCATCAGGAAATCTGGACTCCACCATTTGATACCGTTTTAGAAGGAGGAACCGTTAATGATGCGATTCAATATGTAAATAATGGTTTTGATACTATGATTCAAAGAGGTGGGCACCCTTAAAACATTTATTTTATTTTTATATAAATGGATAACGCAGATTTAGAAAATTTAATTGATGATTTAGTACTTAATCAAAATTTTCTTAATTATTATGAATTAAAATCATATCTCCAAAAACATAATAAAATATAACGGGTGATGATATGGATTATTATTATTCATATTATAAAAATGAAATTTTGAAATATCATGATAAAATAATTTCTGAAATTAAAGACAAAATTAAAAATAATGAATATACAAAGGGAAAAACTAAATCACAACTTAAACAGTTGAAAGATTTCAAAAATAAAGTATTAACAGAAGAAGATATTGATGAATTATATAAATTATATAATCCTGAGCCGCAAAAGCCAAAGGAACAAAAACAAAAGAAGAAAAAGCCGAAAACAACACCAAAAGAGAAAGTAGCAAATGTTCAACAGCTAAGGTGCAAAACGCCCAGGTCCTTCAGACCATAAATGAAGCACAAGCTTTAATTTATGATTCATTAGTTAAACCATATTCAGCCCGACTTTTAAATGAAGATCAACTTTTGGAATTCATCCTTCAACATAAACTCGAAGTGGGAAAGTATATCAAACCTTTATATACAGCATATTTAAAACAAATGAATAGAATACATCCAGAATTAATGAAAGGAAAATCAACAACTAAAACTTCATCATCCAAAATCAAAGCAGATAAAATTAAACCACTTGCAACACCAAAACCTCCAACGACAGTACCTCCTCCTTCAGTTAATCCTTCATCATTCACTTTATTATATCCATTTCAAACATTAAAGAAGCAAAAAGATTTTAAAAAGGATTTCAAGATATTAAATAAACCAATTGACCCGAAAATTCAACCGTTAAAGGAAAAATTTAGTCGCCCTTCATTTGCACCATATCCATATTCATACGAAATCGATCATCTGGAATATTCAAAAGGAAACCTTACTTATTTATTTGCCATTAACATTAACAATAGATATTTATATTGCATTCCAGTGAAAGGGAAAACAGAACAGGAAACAAGAAGAGCTATTCAATACTTACTAGATCATGAAAGAGTAGATAATATAAGGGGTGATGGTGATAAAGGATTTCAGGCAGCTATGGCTCATTATTTCCCACAAATTAATTTTTACTTCTCATCTTCTCCATATACGTTTCATAATAAAATAGTTGATGCGGTAATGAGAACTCTTAGAGATGCGTTAGGGGTTAACGGTCAGATATACTGGGATGGAAATCATGACTCCATCATACAGCAGTTAGTATATTATTACAATAATACATGGCATAGAACTATAAACATGAAACCAGTGGAAATGAAAAATGATATTTCAAAAGAATGGGAATATATTAGAAAGCAAATGGAAAGGTTAAATGATGTTAAACGTGAACAAATTAATTCGGGGCTCATGAATTTTAAACAAGGGGATAAAGTTTTGATTCATCTCGATTATGGAAAAACTAATAAATCAATGACAAAAAGAAGACGAAGATTTGACACAATAGCTGAATTTGTTAGATATATTAACGGCAATGCATTAGTTGAAGTTGACAATAAATTAATAGAAATTCCGATTTATTTTATTACTCCATTATATTTAAATAATATTTAATTTTTTTATTTCGTAAGAAATGAGTGACAACAAAGCAGCCAAGAGTCCTGATTCAATTAAGATTCAGAGTCCAGATAATGAATATAAAAAGAAACTAAACAGAATTAAATCAAAAATATGCTATTACAAAAAGAAGCCGCAATGCGGTGGGGCTGATGCCCATAAAACTAAAGTAATTGAAAACGATAAAGAGAGGAAAGAAATAATCGAAAAATTAGAAACTTACCGTTCAATCCTTAAACTGAGTGAAGCAAAAATAAAAGAATTTAATAGAATAAATAAATTGATTGGAAGAGATGAATTTAATAAAGATGAATTTTTAAACTCAATCCAAATTTAATTTTTATTCCTCTTCGACAACGTCTCTTCGAGACGCCGAACCCTTCTGGGTTCTTCTTTCCATCATTACTGCATAACCGCATCTTCTCGGTTTTCGTGGTTTGTTGTTTTTAATTCGTTCTTGCATCATTTTTATCATTTCCTCCCTTGTTATGATTCGTGGTAAATTTTGAGCTTGTGGGGTATCCATTTATATAAAAATAAAATTTTGTTATCAGTTATTTTATCATCATTTTATTAAGTTCATCTTTAGTTAATTTGAATGGATTCGCTAATGTTCCACCTTGAGCCACAACAATTGCCCCGGCTAATTGTGAAGAACCTGGGATAAGTACTCCATGAAATGATTTCATTGGTATCATTAATTTAGAAATAGTTGGCTTAATTAATTTTGTCATTTATGATAAAAATAAAATTGCATGATTTAAATTTTTTTCTTTCTCATTTTCTCATTTCTCATTTTTTTCTCTTTTTCATTCTGTTTTGGTTTCAGCAACTTTTCAAGTTGTTGTCTTGTCAGTAACTTTAATTTTAACATTGGATCAAATATTGGGTTTCCATCTTTATCTCTTCCATTAACACCATATGGTAGAATCTTCATTTATACTAAAATAAAAATTTAAATTATGCCGTTCTAAAGTTTGTGAAACAAACATTGAGCGTTCATTGAACGCGAAACCATGCATAAACTGTCATATAAGGTGGCATGTAATCTGTACCTTTTCCTGTCGTTTGTGTATATCCTGAAACATTATGTGAATGTGTACCCGAACCGTTTGAAGTATATCCTTCATTCCATCTATTTTTATTACCGTACCAATATTTACCCTGCCAGTAATCACTATTAGCACAGTAGAGGAAACGATCGGTTATTTGTTGCCATGTACCGAAACCGAATACATCAGCTGGATTTGTTGAATTCATTGATGTATATATTGAACCAATGGGGTAAATCATCTCAAGAATTGTATTTAATCCATTATGAATATTGAATTTATTATATAATATTGAAACTGGGTAAGAAATTAAAATTGGTCTTGTCATCAATATTAACGTATTATTTTTGAAAATTGCTTTTCTAACATCTTGAAATTTTGTGATTTCAGACCAGTTTCTTCCATCACTACTGATATTTACTAAATCACCACATCCTAAAGCAATGAAATACCCATCAATATAAAATAAATTAGTAAATCTATAATTTCGAGTAAGTTTTGGAGTGAATGAATAAACCAATTCCCAACTTGGTGTTTTCTCTGGATCCTGTGAAAAATCTTGTGATAAATAAATATGTCTGTTATAACTTACAGGATATGAATAGACCATACCACCTGAAACAAGAACACAAACATTTGAAGCATAACATAAAGCTTCAATGTCTCCATCAGCTTGAAAAATTTGTTCAAAACGACCAAATGGTATTGAATATGATCTATAAATTTTATCATTTTGTAGGATAAAATACATGTTGTTAATGTAATACCACTTACTTGTATAATCAATTTCCAAATCTGATGACATCATACTAAACATATAATAATTTATCCCATCCTCACTAATGAAAATTTGATTGACTTCATAAATTAGTACCCATTTATTATTAACGCATCTAATAGGATTATTTGGATATTTAAATTTAGCATCTTGATTTAAATTACATTTGAACCATTGGATACAATCGAATGAATAACAAGGGCAAAAATCATCTCCAACCGTTATCATTCCCATAAATTTACCGTTATTATATTCAACATATAAAATTCTTGGATTAATGATTGGCTCTCGTGTATCAGGATTCCAAACAGATGGAGTAAATGATTCATAGTTTTTAAAATCATTTGTTTTAAAATAATAAAGCACTCCAGCTGTATAAAATAAATACGTGGTCACTCCATCGAAACATATCCATTCAAAAGAATCTATATCAAAGGTTTTATCTGATGATTTCATAAAATTTAAAAATGGTGGAGTAAAATAGACCTCTGATTGTTTTATTTCTTCATTAACAAATGATATATCAGCTTTCTTTGCTAACTCAGTATTAATGAATGAAATAACTTTTTCCTTATCTGCTTTCTTCTCTAACTCATCGTTAACATAAGTTTTATCTGCTTTAAGGTCTAAACATCCTGAAACCCATTCTGTATCAGCTTTAACTTTAAAAGTCTCCAATGTCCATTCATGATACCCTTCAACCTTTTCTTTAATTTCATTATCTTTTTCATCAACATAAACTAAATTTGCCTTCTTATTTAACTCGGTATTTACATAAACTAAATCTGCTTTCTTATTTAATTCAGTATTAACGTATTTTATCTTATCTTACTGCTTTCTTCATTAATTCAGTATTAACGTATTCCTTATCTACCTTCTTATTAATCATATATCCACGTATTCCTTATCTGCTTTCTATCTATACGTATTCCTTATCTGCTTTCTTCATTAACTCACTATCCACATATTCCTTATCCACCTTCTTCATTATGTCATTTAGGAAACCTTCTATGAATTCCTCATTTAAATTAAATCTTCCAATCTTCAAAACTTTAGGAAATGCATTTAATGCGTAATATCTCTGTTCTTCTGGTGGAATTGATGTTATATCATCCGTTATACCTTTAATTTTAGAATTCATAAATAAAATTTCTTTTATATTTGATATCACTGCACCACCTTTGCAAACGAATTCGAAATGGTCATTTTTCAATACTATCTCCAAATCTCCATATTTCAACCTTTGCGTTTGTTCTGCCGTCTTTGAATTATATGCATATATGGCGTATGTAATGGTCTGAAGGACCTGGGCGCTTTGCGCCTTAAGTTGCTGTTGTTTAATCATTTATTACGATTTAAAAATAAATATTTAATCCGTTATCTCATCAGCTATTTTCTCTATTTGAAATTGCCATAATATTTCATTCATAAATTCTAAATCACAATCAAATAGGTCAGTTATTCTAAATTTAATATTTGATAAATCTTTTGAATGAAGAATAAATGAATTCCCGGATAATTGAAACGGATATGATAAAGAAAATGTGTTTAAGTTGATGGATAAAATGTTTTGTATTGATGGGTAAGAGTTAGGGTCTAATGTTTGATGTGAAAATCTCATTGGGGTATTAACTTTATCACATTTGATTAAAATGAAATTGGAACCAGTGTCAGAATACAAAACATCCCCAACATCTTTTTCAAAATTTAATATCCCAACAATGAACGAAGATGAGGAGTACAAAATTTAATTTTCAGCGGAAATTTAATAAGGTTATTTATTTCATCAAGTTCAAAAAGTTTATCAGGTTTTGATTTAAAATTTTCTTCATACCATACGATAAATGATTCATTTAAATAACTTAAAATCATGTTAATATCCCATTTCGCTATCACATTATTTATATACATATCATACGTTTTTTCAATCTACGAGCCGCTATGCGGCTCATGGTCATCTTTAATAAATGATATATAATCTGAAGGGTCTAAAAGAATGGGATTAAATTTACCACTCACAGAAACGAGAGTAACATTATAAATTCCGCTAACTGTTAAATTTAATTCACAGTTATTATTCGAAATAATATTGATAATTGACATTTTTTATTACGATTAAAAATATGGTAAAGCGTTATTTTCCAGTGATAAATAAAACTAGAATAAGATTACCTCAAGAATTCATAAATTCAACGAATAAGAAATTCATTCATGTTATAAATTTTAGTGTTTTCAGAAAATATGAGTCAGTGTCATATTCATCAACAGGTTATATTTCACTTCATTCAAATTTAGTTCAATCAAACCCATATAATGACCATTTCATAAGATTTTCAGATGGTATTAAAAATGTAATTGATAGATTAAAATATGAACAGATTGACAATATCGAATTTTTGGAATTTTGGTTTAAATATCCCGATGGAAAAAAGATTGAAGTTAAAGATAAAGCTGATACTATAACAAAAACAATTACAATGACCGATCCGGATAGTGGGGAACAAAAAGAAATAAAACAAACGATAGAAACTGGTGAAAGGTCAATTATTATTGATTATGATTCAAAGGATTATTATTCGATAATGTTAATGCTTGAATATTAAATAGCCTTAACAAAGAATTTTTCAAGTGATATTTTATATTCATCAACTATTTTATTATAAATATCATTATATGTTAAATGAAGTTCAGTTGTTGTTCCGTTCTTTGATATCTTAATTGTGCTAATATCCTTTATAGGATTTATTTTTGCAACTGTTCCGCAGCATGAAACCTCATCATCTATGAAAAATTGAATCTTAACGTCTGAATCTTGAACATCACAAAGAATGGCGATAATGTGAATTAATGATTCATAAGGTAAAATAATTAAACCGATTGATCAATTAAATTTATTATTGAATCATAATTATTAATTATTATATCACGGTAAATTTTCATTAATTCAGAATTAATGTCTATTTTATATGGGTTATCAAGTGGTGCTGGGTATGTTGGATAAGTGGGAATTTCAACAGGTTCTTTACCGGGTTCAGATAAAATGATTGGGTCTCCATCTTCTTTATTTTGCTCCTCCTCCTTTTTCGGTAAGTCACGAGTTAATAAATTTGGTTGAGTTGCTGACCTTGTTAATTCAGGGCTAACATTAACTTTAACATTTTGAATAATTCGTGATTTATCATCATTTACGTTATAACCAACCGTAATCTCTGCTTTTGCGTTAGTGTTCTTTTGACTAGTGAAACGTCTTCTCATTTATAATCGAATAAAAAAATATATTTAAACTTTTATTTTGCTGGAAGTTTTGAATCTATTATTCCCTGTATTTGTTCTTGAAGTTGATTTTTAGCTGGTTCATTGTAATTAATAGACCTAATATATTCATTAATTGCATTCTTATAATCATCTGATTTCTCAAATTTTCTTTTATCTGATTCCTTAACTAAATCATAAGTTAAACCTCGTTGCTGATATAATGGTTTCTTAATTAAATCTTTGAATGCTTGAGATAAAGCACCTGATGCAATTCTTGCTACTATAATTGGTTGGAATTGCTGTTTAAGTTCATCTTTAACATTTGCGAAAACTGGATCGAATAAAGCAACTTTAAAGAATTTCTTAGCTGAAATTTCAGGTCTAATATTTGCATATTGACCATCAAACTGGTTAGAATATCGTGGTAATCCATCCGGTCCCTCTTCAATAGCATTTAATTCTTCATTGAAATAAGAATATGGATTATAACGGTATGAATTAATTGGACCATTTTCACCTTCTCCAATGTATTGTTTAACAGCTTTTCCATTTTCATCAAATTGCATAGGATAACGTTCATTATATGCTTTACGTTTAGGATAATCAGTTATAGTTAATTTGTAACCATTTATGACTTTAATATTACCTTGACCATCAGTAACGAAAACTTCATTTATACCATCAGGTTTTCCATTTGGACCCGTAATGTCTGCTTCGTGTGCTTCCCAATTTGGACCTTGACGTTTGGCATATGCTTGAGCTTCTGGTAATGTTAAAACGTTTCTCATTTGTTTAACATCTTTTTGAAGACCAGCAACAATATGAACTAATTCTTTCATTCCATCAGGAACTTTCATAGTTCTATTATATGCACCCTTTTTGTTTGTTCCTTGTTTTAATGGAACCTGTAGAAGATTTGCTATTTCTGTCATGTTTAATTATAAATAAAAAATAAAAATTAATTATAAAAAGTTAATCAAATTTAACACCTCCTTTATTTAAATCAACTATTATTTTTCCATGTTCACCTAATTGCTGATATTGTGTGTAAAGTTCATTAATGCTCATTGGTAAATTCACTTGATAAAGCATAACGTTCAACTGTTGACGACTAAACCCACTGAAAATGAAAAGTGTTGATAGATTTGATTTAATGTTTGTGCTTAATGCTTTGAAGTATTGAACAGCCATGAAGAATGAACACTGAATGTGTCGACATTGAGTTAATAACTGATTAAAATATGATTTCTCATTTGTTATTAGTTTTGATTTCACTGCATCATCTAGAAAAATGA